AAATAAAATTTCTCTTAAAAAAAAAAAAAGAAGGTACATCAGGAAAGATTAACTCCGAATCAACTCTTATTCGAAGCGTGTGACTGGTTCATTACGACAGATACCAGTTTCCTCAGCTTCTCTGTTCTGTTCCGTTATGTAACTGATAAAAATAAATACCAACATAAAACAAGGAGGTCTCTCTTAAACTTACTGAAGTTAAGTTGTGAATAAGACCTCTCCTATATAGCCCAATAATTTAAAGGGTGAATTGTGCATAGTTCTGATATGACATGGGAAGCATGTGCATTTGTGGGGTGGAGGTGCTATCTGCTTCGACTTGTGATTACATAAGGATACTCTGACTCTATTCCCTCATCTATAACAGTGAAGTAACAGTGGAAGGCTGAACCACCTAGGGCTGTTTTGAGGTAAGGGCAGAATCAGTGAATTTACTAAAAAGCATTTAGAATTTGACCAGGTTGGGGACTGTCTGTCATCCTTCAACACCCCGCCCACACTGCCTGAGCTGATGTAAAGAACATTGGCTGGGTGGATGGATAGATGAATGACTTCATTCGCTGTGTGGCGGGTAGGAATGTGTAGCCAGGTAAAGAAGAATTACGTACTGTCCCTCAGTCCTGGCAAAGGTGTAGTTCCACTCGCCCTGGGAATCACTACAGTTTGGTCCTTCTGCCAAGCCCAGGGCTGCCACAATGACACAGTAGCCAGATCCTGCGATGCCAATAAGAGCAGCCAGTACAGAAGAAAGCATCTAGGGAAAGAAGCAGGAAGTAAACCAGAGCACCATGGTTACATCTCGCACACCAAGCACTGTCAATGCACACTCGAAGACTTACCGCACATCTCTTGCCACAGTTGTCATGACCACAACACCCGCAGCAATCATCTTCCTCCAGCCCAATGAACACAAATGCTGGCAGGAGCATCTGGTCAGAGACAAGTAAATTAAAGTCACTGTCCTTCCCAGGTTCATGTGGGTGGGGTTAGGCATCTTTTGGTAAAGATATATCTCTTTCTGATGGTGTTGACTGGCTTTGATTAGATTAACCAAGCATCATGAAGAATGTAAAAGTCTGAAAAGAAATAAAACCCTATTTGCTTTTTCCATGTCAAATGTCAAGACATTCCTTAGGGGAAGGCTATAGAATGTAAGGATTAAAATAATAACATAGATATGTGGGTGTTTCCGGTGAATGCTTAGACTGTTAAGACCTGTCTTTAAATCTGATTTCCCCTCCCTGTCAAATGTAAAGAATGACCACAAATCTTGAGTAGAGTAACAGAGACTCTTTCAGAAAGTAGAAAAGAGGAAAGTTATCTCCAAAAATATGATCTGCTTCTTTGAAGATACGGAGGCACTGTTTCAGCTCAACAATAATGTTTTTTAACTAAGTAAGAACTACTTCAAAAGAAACCTCAGCACAATTGAGGCTATGTTAAACTATGACTATGTTAATTTATGCAACTGCATTTGTATTAACTATCTGAACGTGGTGGTGATGCTTAAGTTCAGAACACATTTGCCAAGTCATCCACAGTTAGAATATTAGGCTAAAATGTCATAATACATAAAGAAAACAATATTCTCAAGGCAGTAAGAAGTTCATTAAATTTTTTCTTCAAATTCTTAATTCTAGCATTTTAAAGTAGCAAACTCAAGTTTGCTCACATTCTTTCTATGTGGAGGTTGAAGAGAATACTTTTGCCTCCCAGGTTGGCAGGCAAATCCTCTCACTTCGACTAAAAACAGACCTTTGATAAAAAACAACACATTCCACCATCAGACTCAAACACTGATGCACTGTTCACTCTGCCCCAGGAGGGGGCTTGTAGTTCTTTGAAAATACCAAGACACTCCATTAATTAGTTTTCCCTATCACAGATGCCTGAAAATGAACAATAGAGAATAATTTAGATTCAAACTGCTGACTTGAACCAGCCAACTCTCTCCAGCTCCCCAGAGCAAATGTAAACTGACGGCCACTCCAGAAACTTGATAGTCCCTCAACTCTCCCATGAAACTGGATATCTATCTCCTAGCTGTTAAGTAAGAGCTTTAGGGAAAAAGATCATTCACTTTTAGTTGAAAGAGTTTATAAAGCAATGTCCAATGAAATTTACAAGGCGTTCAACACAATCTTGGAATGTTCTGCTTTCCAAAGAATGAACAACAACAAAAAATTCCCACAGGATTTAGAAACACGCATTACAGAAACTTCTGATGAAAATGATGCCCTCAGCTGGTGAAGAGGAGAGAAACTTTCAAAGTGGTAATTCTGAACGACTTACCAGCAAGCCCCCTCCTAGGATGCCGGAAAAAAACCAGACAAAGCGGCTGAGGTGGTTTTCGGAGGCATACTTTGTTTCCCCGTTGGGAAAGTAAAGCAGGATATTAGCCACAATACAGAGGACGGCAAACCACACCAGAGAGTGTCCGATGCATCTTGCGCATTTCCCGTAGCACATGGTGGCAGCGGTCGCCCTGGAGGCTTTCCCGCTTCGCTCTCCTGGGCTCGGCGATGTCCCAGATCAGGTGACAGTGAGCCTGTCCGTGGAGAAAGCAAACACAACCCTCAGCCCATTCCTGCCACCACTTAAATAGTGCCAGTTTGTGCTGCCCGCAAAGGAGGTGCTTCGCGTTCATTGGTCCAGACTGCAGCCTGCAGCCGGGGTGGAGGGATGCGGGGGAATGCCCCGCCCGTCACATGAAATCCCTGCAACGACGAAACCAGGCAGGGGACGTGAGAACCAGCCTCGATCACAGGCAAGAGAGAGAATGATTAATCCCGCACAAGGAGTCCACTGTGCAACTTGCTCACAGGATGGAGTCGACAGGAAACTCCAGCACAACCTTCCGGTGACTGCCAAGGTGGGACGCTTGGAGACTGTGAAGGGGAGCTGTGATTCTGCTCTGCCGCTTGGATGGCTTCCAGTCTGAGGCCTGCGTTCGCGTCTGCCGCAGCGCTGATTTAGTTTGTGACCTGGGGCACGTTTCCTGAGCTCTGAGCTCTTTCCCTTGTCTGTCCAGGACAGGGTGTCTGAGCTGTCACCCACAGATCTGAGGAGGCTGCTGGGGGAAATTACAGGGTAGCTTCCTGCCTGCAGCCAGCTCTGCGGGACAGATCCCAGAGCCAGTTTCCCTGGATGTCTGCTGCCCAAGAACATCTGCTCCAAGGCAAGGTGGCATCAGGCAGCACAGCAGCTCAGACACCTCTTCATTCTGAGTGTTGCTGTACAGCAAAGCAGGCCCACAATATGACTCCAGGGTGAAAGAAAGAGGAGGAAGAGGAGGAGGAGGACTTATAACCCTTCTTTCTTTGTTCGCAAGAGCAAGGCTAATGAACCCAGAGACTCTGGATTAGGCCAGATTCATGTCCAAGCTACAGAATAGGCCACACACTGAACTTGAAGAGGCCAACTATGAATAGGAATTTTTAGTCATATGGGATTGCACTGGGGTGAGGTCACAATCCTGAATAGACTGAAGAAATAAATCAATATAAATGGCACCGACAAGAAAGCCTGGAATGTGCAGTTGAGTCTGCCTGAGAGCATCTCTGTCACCAACACACATCCAACAACAGGACCTATGTGCCTTCTGACTGAGACTTTAAGTCCTGCTTAGAGGTAGCATCTATTGCTGATAGGGCCTGAGGAGACACACTAGGTGAATAACTCGATCTTTCTAAAAATGGCAAGCACTTAGAAACTGCTTTTCCTAAAAAGCTTCCAACTCCTTGCTTTGGCCTACAAGGTTACTAAAAGCAGGATAGAGCCCAGCATCTCTACCTTCATCTCGAATTTGTGTCCTTTACTTTGGATCGTCTGCTTACCTCCACACATTGGCAAACTGATGATAACTAACTTCTCTCATTCTCCTCCAAGGCTGCAACCATAAGACAAAAGATCAGGCATGTTACTGTTGGCTTTTAACAGTGTCCGATTTGAGGTCTCTGAAAGGCATCTCATGGTCTCTAGTTGTTCTAAACCTGCAGTAATCTTAGGTTACAGAAATAGTTGAGCCTGAGACAGCAGACCACCTTCCAAATGAGCTGGCAGTTATTCACAGTGGGAGGCTGCACCTTGGATCCTAAATAATCTTCAGAGAACCAGCTTGTTCCTTCAAGCAATAGGAACTTCTTCAGATCACTTGTAGAACTCTATCTCTTCCCTCAGATGCCCCAGTTCTTTTTCCTAACCTAAAGCCCACATCAGTACCCTGAGGATGAACTTGGGGCGGGGGTCACTGGACAACTGTGTTCTTCACAACTCATTGGTTAAATCTCATATTGATTTTTACCATTACCTTGTCACTTTAAAGTCACATACTGGGCCAGCATACTGAGCCTAACCTGTTGGGGCTATGGTATTCAGGACCTTTGCTCTAAAACTCCAGTTAGACTTTATTGAGGAGTTTTCATTCTAATCCCCCATTTTACCGATCTGTCCCATCAAGGGACAAAAAGGGGAAAAGTGTCCATTTGAGGCCTTTGCCTCCCAGGTCTTAAATCCCCTTCCTTCTTCTCTCCCTCGTGCCTATGGCCAGCAGGGTGGAGAGGGAAGAGTAAAGGACCTGGATTTAGAAAGTCAGGTGCAGACACTCTGTCTTCTGCCTTCCAGCTTCGTGAACCTGGGAAAGTCACTTACCTTCCAGGACTGTCTCCTGGTCTGTAAGACAAGTACAGATTAGACAAGGGACATCTAACAGTGGTTCAGGGGTTCTTAACAAGTTTCCGAGTATGTTGCTGTGATATTAACGCTCTCCCCAGAAAAAGAATGTCCCAGTTTGTACACAAACACATTGTTTCTAGAGGTTCATAAACTCCTTGAAGCAAATTAATTTCATATTTCTCAAAGATGTAGTCAGTCCAAGGACCACTTTAACCACATACGAAGGTTTTGGTCCCACCCTCAACATAACGGATAGGAATTTTTAGGCAGGACTCAGCAATGCACATTTTTACACTCTAAGTGAGTCCTTTGTCCTCTCAAGTGTAGGGATCACAACCCCAGGTAAAGTAGTAGTATCTAACACTCTCTGGGGACAGTGCATGCCTCCAATGCTCCTTGGTTATAGCTGTCGTCCAGGGAACGTAATTGTTGGGGTAGGGCACATATTGCTAATTTATAGTTGGGTATAATGTATTTTCAGATTTGAACTGACAAAAATCCCTTTATCTTTGGGGCAAGGTGGCGTGAAGTGGACAGCGTAGCCTTGTGATGCTCTTGCCTCAAGTGTTTGAGAGCTGAAGTTACAGGCACATGCCACCATACCTGCCATTCTCCTTACCTCCTGTCTTCGAGCTCTCTGCTTCTGCTCTCCAGCGGCTCACCTAACCCTGGCAGAAACAGGATCTTTTCTAGTTTTTGTTTCTGGCTTAAAACTAAGTATGCTTTTTTTGGACAATTTCTTAAGCACTTGGCTGTGCTACTAACTAGAGCTTACTCGGGAGATAATCGTGGCCTTTCTTTTGGCCATGAACCTGTTTGATATGCAAAGTTGCCACCCCCACAAAGTGTTTCTGGACCTTGGTTCACTCCAGAACCCCTGGTGCTGGTCTTACCCCACCCTGCCTCTCTGTCTTTCTGCTGTGAGATCATCTTCTCTTAGAGCACTAGTCTCTAGGCTTCTGCTCACATGCAGGTTGAGCATCCCTGATCTGAGAATCTGAAATCTAAAATGCTCAGAATTTCAAAACCTTTTCAGCATTGACGTGATATCACAAATGGAAAATTCCAAATTTGATTTCAGTGACAGGTTTCGATTACAAAGACTGGTAGAGAGGTTAGGAATATGGTTCACCAGCAGAGTACTTCCCTAGTGTATGCAAGGTCCTAGTTGCTAAGTGTGATGCCCAACATGGCAAAAACAAACTAAACTGAAGATGTACTAAACATATTTACTGCTACACTTAGCCTTAGGTTATGTGTATTGTGCTATTGTGCATATATGAAACATAAATGAATTTCTTGTTCAGGTTTGGGTCCTATCTCCAGTGTATCTCATGATGTATATACAAATATTACAAAATGAAAAAAATATGTAATTTGGAATACTCTGGTGTTGAATGAGGGATAACTGACCTGTGTGATTTTTCTCAGAGCCTCTCTGAAGACCTATCTAGTGATGTTCTGTCCCACCTGCTGCTGTCAATCCCATCGCTCTGTTATCAGCACAGAGCTATCTATCACTTGCTTCTTTTTCTGTTTTCTCACTCCCCTCTGCTGTGCCTTCTGTGGGCTCGGGATCTCTTTTACAAAGATTTCTTAGCTGCTCACACAACTGTTCCCAGGCCCTGCCACCACCGAACTTCCTGGTCTGTTACATAGTGTCTGTAACTCAGTTTCTGTCATTCATTCGCTAATTTTTATTGAACTCCTACAATGTTTTCTCGTGAACACTTGGAAATACAGCATGTATCCACTGAACTAGGAGAGAGACAATTTTTGACAGAGAAATACAGAGTGTCTAAGATTTGTTATAAGTAGAAAAAAAGGGGACGAGATGGGGAATGGAGAGGGCTCGCTGACACAGAATAATGAAATATACCTCACTGAGCGATGTGGTACAGAAATGAGTCAATGTGTGTAAAGCTTGAAGTATGTGGTGTTTAGCAATAACACAGTTCATATTATTTATTATTTACTTACTGCTTTAAGCCACCCACTCTCCCGGGTAAGATGTCTCTATTTCATTTATGATACATTTTATTTTTTCTAAGATTCCATCACTCTGATATTTGTTGGATCTATTTATTGTTCTTCCTGTTAATTTTAGTTGTTATGCTGTTGTTTTTAGACAGGGTTTCCCTGTAGCTCCAGCTGGCCTGGAACTCACTATGTAGACCAGACTAGCCTCAATCTGACAGAGATTCCCCTTCCTGCCCCTACCTCCCGACTGCTGGGATTAAAGGTGTGTACCACCATATAGGAATCCAGTTAAATTTTTAAATACTAGCATCCCAACAGTTCTAGCTCAGGTCTAGCCCCCACACTCTCTCTGGAATCAACCTACAGATATCTTTAGGTGTGTTTTTACTATGCTGTGGAGTTATAGGTTCTGGAACACCGGTCACAGGTTTTCAACCCTATACTTTGGGTGTGCTGCCCCACTGTCAAAAGGGTCTGTTCCTCCTGCCCTGGTCCACTCCACCAGTCTTGTTCCTTGGGCTGAACTTATTACTTCTGTGATACTTTCCACTACAGGACCGCTTCTCCTCCAAAACCACTCAGTGCTCATAGTTTTTGTTTTTCATGTAACACACCCGCATTGTACCACTCACCAGACCATGATGCATGAATGTGTGTCCTCATGCAGATTGAGCCTGAATGCATGAATGTGTGTCCTCCTCACGCAGACTGAGCCTGAGGTCCCAGAAAGTTGGAACCTTCTATTTTCTTCATGAGGGCAGATTAGTTAACCCAATGTCAGGCATTTAGATGGCCCCCAATAAATATTTGTCAGATGAATAAACATTTGTTTAAATAAATAGGTTGAAGTTGAGTATGTTTGATTCTGAGGTTATTTGTTTTTGAGAATATTCAGACTATCTTGAAAAGTCAGGAAAAATTAACAACACATTTGTGTGTGTGTACACGTTCATGTGTGCAGCCATGCATGGAGGCCGGGGGCTCATGTCTTCATCAACTGGTTCTCTACCTTAGTTTTCAGTCAGAGGCTCTCACTGAAGCTGGAGCTCACAGATTTGCAGACTAGCTGGCCACTGATCCTCCTGTCTGCCTCCCCTATGCTGAGATTATAGGTGTGTGATGCCATGTCCGACTTTTTACGTGGGTACTGGGAATCCAAACTTAGGTCTTCATGTTTGTGTCATAAGCACTATACCAATGTTGCCATCTCCCCAGTCTCAAGGTTTATCATATTTAATTTTGAAAAATCTTCAGTTCTACTCATCACTCACAAGCACCTGGCGTATACTTCTTTTTTCAACTTTTACAAAACTTTTATTGAAAATTTCATACATGCATATGAGGTGTTATCTAAATGAATAAAAATAATCCCTCCTCTTCAACATTCCTGCCTCTGAACGACCTCTCTGGCTTCTTCCATGCTGAACAGGGACGCAGGGTGAGGCAATTAAAATACCCCTTCAGTGTGTCTGTCTAAAAGACTCCCAAATTGCATAACCCTTGTCTCTAAGAGAAGAAGAAAGTCCTTGAATCATGAATGGGAGATGTGAAGGAGAAGTAAAGGCAAGAGTAATTCACATTACAAGTTCTAGACAGCGAACTAGAAAAAAGAACAGAGCAATATTTAAATGTTCATATGAGAGTCCATTGGAGTTTCTTGACAAGAGCTCCCCAAAGCATTCCTCTGTTGGGTTCTTCCTCATTCACGCCATCCTCTGAAGAGGTTACCCAAATTGCCAATAGGAAATAGGGACGCCAACAGCTCTGGCTTCTTCCAAGCTGAACAGGGACGCAGGGTGAGGAAATTCGAGTACCCTTCAGTGGTTCTATCTAAAAGACTCCCAAATTGTATAACTCTTGTTTCTAAGGGGAAAAGAAAGTCCTTGAATCATGAATAGGAGATGTGAAGGAGAAGTAAAGGCAAGAGTAATTAGCATTACAAGTTCTAGACAGGGAACTAGAAAAAAGTCAGAACAGGGCAATATTTAAATGTTCATATGAGAGTCCATTGGAGTTTCTTGACAAGGGCTTCCAAAAGCATCCCTCTATTGGGTTCCTCCTCATTTTTATTTTGTCTTCCCAGGCTGGACTACTTGGCTGGGAAGGGGGGTTGAATACTCAGGTGAGGGTCTAGTGACCCTGCATGGCACTCCTTTAATGAATGAGCACCGTCAACAAGCCCAATTGTGACAGTTTAGTGATCAGGCTCAGCCGAAGTCATGATGATGGTAGTTATTTCATGCAGAAGGGACTGCTGTATAGCAGCATCTCATTAAAAGGACCTGGAATTTAAAAGGATTTAGCCAGGTGTGGTGGTGCATGTCTTTAGTCCCAGCACTCAGGAGGCAGAGGAAGGCGAATCGCTGTGAGTTCAAGGCCAACCTGGTCTACATAGTGAGTTCAGGTCACCTGAGACTACAAGGAGACCCTGTCTCAAAAAGACAAAAAAAAAAAAAAAAAAAGGAAAAGAAGAAGAAAGAAAAAGAAAGAAAGGCTGGGTCAGGGGACGGCTTGAGAGTTCAAGACAAGCCTGGACACCTTACCTGGCATATACTTTTTAAGTGTTGTCCATTTGATGTACTTGTTAAGGTTTTATGGATAATTCCAGGGATACCCTAGAGTAAGTAGTAAGTGCCCTATTAGTAATATTTCATGTTGAAAGAAGCCTCACTTGAGTGACTGGTTCAACTCTTACCCTGTTGTAGACCACAATGGATAGCTTGTAGTTACACCTACAGATATTAAAAACTTTTTCCAAGATTATTTAGCTGGCTGGCAATGGAACTATAAACTAGTAGTCTGTGATCCCGTATGTTTGTGGGGGTCTAGGGAAAGAGTCCAACTCAGATCTGCTGCGTCCTGGTTTTCTTCTTCCATACACACTTCCCTTCCTTGTTTAGAAGACACTGGTTTCTTATTCATGTGAGCATGACAAATATTATGATTCATATGTAGTAACCACACTCATTAGAGTTTATGATTATAAGTAGCAAAAGCCAGTTTAGCAACCTTAAAGAAGCGTTAATTATGAATTTAAAGATGACAATACCAGGTGGGGTCACGGGACTGGGGGCCAAGCGGAGGCCAACTCTGATTTCAAGGCAGCCAGGGGGATCTTCACCATTCTTCCTCCTGTACCTTTGAATCTGTCTGTTCATTTTCCTTCATTTCCTTCACAGACTCAATTTCTCTGCTTCTTGGATCACATGAAAAAATATGGTTATGCATTTCTCTCAAGCCATGAGACTCATGTCAAGCATAGATTCAGTGAGAAGCAAGTTGCACTGGACAAGACATCACAGAGACCCCACCTATGACACGTATGGAGCCATCTCTGCTACCACACGAGAGGAGGCGTTGTGCTTCAGAACAGGTGAGCATGAGATGTACACCCCAGTGTGTGAGTCTAGTGAATAGCCAGAGTTCAAGTCCGTGAGTGTGAGTGATCTGATACAGTTTTCTTTATTTGAAACGATAATAATGGTGTACAACCAAGGGAGGATTCCAGAAAAACAGCATGGAACTGTCTGACATATAGCCACCTGACTTTTCCCTTCGTTAGGCTACAACTCAATTTATTCTTGAGCTAAAACAAAATTCTTGGTCCAAGATTAAACTAGAGTAATCGCAACTCATCTTCTCATTCTGTGAGCTCCTCGCCCTTATCTGGTAGATCTAGTTCAACATCTCACAGCGAACACTTGGTCAGGGCTCTCCCAAGCTTCAGTTGCTGTTCTCAAGCGAGAAACCCCCTGAGTTGCCTGGTCTACAAGTGAAAGCTCAAAATATGAGTCTGGGTCTCCCTTCCTGGGGACTGGCTACTCAGAAGGGCAGCCTGACTTCCTGGCGGTTGGCTTAGCTAGGGGTTTTAGAACATGCATAAGACTATAGGACAAAGAGTTGTGTTCCCATTTGGGTATCATTTATTTGGATTTTCCGCAGCTAGAGCCTGGTATGTTAGACACAGAAGGCTTCAAAGACCATCTGACTTTCTTAAAAATATATTTTTTATTTATTATTTCTATTTTATGTGTGTGAGTGTATTGCCTGCATGTATGTGAGCATATTGTGCTGTGCAATGCCCAAGGAGGTCAGAAGAGGAATTCCCTGGAACTGTAGTTACAGATAGTTGTTAGGTGCCATGTGGGTGCTGGGAACCCGACCTAAGTCCTCTGCAAGAGCAGCCAGTGCTCTAAAAGGCTGAGCCATCTTTCCAGCCCACCTCCCCAGCATCTGACTTTCTACAGAGGACAGCATAAAGTTTCTAAAACACTTATGATGCTTAGGCCTTAGGGAAATAGTCTCTCAGGCTGGTCAGGAAATATATTTTAAGCACTGCCCCCAAGGGATTCTAATGAACAGCCAGAATTCAAGTCCACTGATGTAGGCGGTAGAAATAAAGAGCTGCATTTACTGAGGTCCAGAGTTGCATTTCAGTAGAGAAGAAAATCCAAAGATTAAAATGAAGCAAAAGCAAACTCTGAGACATTAAAACTGAAAACCTCCTGCATTTTGAGCATCCTCAACCAACTGGTTCTTCCTGTAAAATGGGAAAAAGAGGCAGCAGACTCCCAACTCTCCCTCCATCCTGCGAGAGTCCAACCAGGTCCTCCCCACTAAAGGGAAGTTATCCCACACCCCCAGGTTCCGTTTGCCTGTGTGTGGGGAGTGAACAGCAACTGTTCACGGTTCCCAGGTGATGTTTATCCTGTTTCTGTGCAGTTGGGGAAGGGGAGGAGCACAGAAAGGATGCTTGGGTACCAGCCACTCCCCTGTTGGTAGCTAAGCTTTCCAGGTGAGAAAACAGAGACTCACGTGAGCTAAGCAGGCAGGCAGGCCACTAGGCTGACAAGTGACAGTCAGGATTCGCGTTTAGCTCTCCCTGACTCAGGCGATCAAGCTCTTTTCTGTACATGTTCATTTTTACTGCTTAACGTGTTGGACGATAAATAGATTTGAACAGATTTAGGAGTTTCTTAGCCAAGAGACATAATTTCAAGACGTTAACTATTTGAATTCTACTTTAATGAATCAGCGGTTTTAAGGTTCACTTGATGTCTTTCGATCCACCAGTGTGGGCTGAATAGCTTGCACGCTGACAGCTCAGAACGAAACGAAGGCTGGTGCATAGTAGCTTGGTTTTACTGTAGCAGAAAAGAACTGTTAACAAACAGGAGATACACAGTTAAACAAATATCTCCTAGATTCAATAGAAGATGTAAGTGAAAAAGCCTCAGTTAGGCATAGTATCACAGGCTGCAGTGGGGACAGTTTGGAGGCAGAGGCAGAAGGATCACCAAGTTCATTCTCTCTCTCTCTCTCTCTCTCTCTCTCTCTCTCGCGCTCTCTCTCTCTCTCTCTCTCTCTCTCTCTCTCTCCCTTCAAAAAAGAAAGGAAATAAAAATCGTAATCATAAAAGTCTGTTTGTATCCTGATCTAACTCATCAAGGGATTTGTTCATGTGTCTTGGCCCACCGGTCTTGGCCCACCTGCCTTTTGCCTTTTATAATATGCTTGCTGTCTGTGTAAGCTTGGAGATTTACTCTGTCCCTCTCGCGTTTTGATGCTCCATTTAAAACTCCTCTGAGTTGTCAATGCCCCAGGAATGAGAAGTGAGGGTGATTTTAGGTACCACTTTCCAGGGATCCTTGTAAATAAAAAGATTTCCTGCTGTACATTCATATGAGTTGTTTCTCTGACTTCAGAGCTCTTAGAATGCAGCGTAGAGAAGAAGCAGTGTGAACCTCTCCAAGTAATCGTTCCACACCAGTGAGTTAATACTCCACTTAAGCCTCACTGCTCAGCCACTCAGTCAAACTGGTTTTGGTAGCTGTCAAATACCAACATGGCAAATTTCCCACAGATACTGAATGAACTGAAAACGGGCCCAGGGAATTTTATTAAGAATGACCTTATACCAGTAAAGAGTTGAGATGCGTGTGTGTGTGTGTGTGCACGCACGTGCGTGCGTGTGCATGTGTGTGTGTGTGTAACAGACATCAACGAATGACAGATTTGGACTGTGTGTGTGTGTGTGTGTGTGTGTGTGTAACAGACACCAACGAATGACAGATTTGGATTGGCTATGAAGTTCACTGATGGCCAGGTGAACAGCTGGCCTCCTACCTCCTAGTTGGCAATCTCTGCCCTGCTTGAATGCAGGCTAGCTGAACTCTGAGCAAGCATTACCCTAGCATCTAATATAAACAATCAGGCCTTAGATTTCCTACCCAGAAAGGGAGTTGAGATTCTAACTAGCTGAATCATCTACTGACAACTCCCTTCATTGTGTTAGGTTACAAAAACACAGTGGCTTGCTATGGGAACCTTCATGGAAAATCTGTTCCACTTTCAGATTGAACCGTTAGCCTGGCCTGATTCAAACGAACACAGAATCCTACAGTGCCATGATTTGTCTATAATGCCTTTGTGATGATTTGGAAATTCATTTTTCAGGCTTAGACAGGGAGGAAAACTGTAACAAGAATTGCAAAGAGACCAAAATATCAAATGGTATCACAAAAACTATCTGGAATAATTATAATGCATTTACTTCTTGTTCAAAAGGAATCAAATAAGCTTCTCTACTGAGATCCTTCAGATTAGCTGTCCCTCAGAGGAGTTAAATAGGGAATTTGGGAGACTGGGCATGATGACAGTATTGAAGCGAGCTCAGGATGTAGATTCTATATGGTACTCTGGGTCTCCCTTTACATATGCAGACCTGGGTGCTTTTCTTTCATCAGTGAAGGATGCTTAAGAGCCTTCTACTTCTCAGCTCCCTCCTCCTCTTGATTTTTTGATAGTCCTCTTAGTGGCCCCAGTGTTTTCTATGATGATGATGTTTTGGGCAATCGGAGGCCGAGACAAAGAGTCTCACTGAGGTTTGGCACCAGACTTGTGCGAGTTCCTTTTTTACCGCCATGAGTGTGCTATACCAGAAGCATAGATGTGCTTATGACTTTCCACAGTGCCAGTTTGTTTCATAACGGTAAATTCATAAGCTGTACCAGTTTTCTTGGCTGCAGTTTACCGAGTGACCCTGATTTCTCTTGATAGCTGGCAACTGACAATCACAGCTTCTTTTATCCCAATGTTCATTACTAATACTGACTTTCAGATCACATATGATTATACTTCACACCAATATATACAAAGAATGTTATATGATATATATTCCATAACAGAATGGCTATAAAGGAGTTAAAGAAGCCTCAGAGGTCAAAGAGGCCTTACCGGAGGCAGAGGCAAAAAGCTGATACACATGTGAAGAGAATCACTGTGGTATGGAGGCAAGATATTCATTAACCTGGACAGAGACCTCCTGGAAGCCCACAGAACCAAGCTGTCGGGGTGCAGGGTCAAGTAGAGTGGCAGAGGCATAGAACCAGGACCTGATGGACTCACAGATTGACAAAGAACAGCAATCCTAGTGGGTGACATCAAGCAATGGGGTCTACACTGAGCTGAATTAGCACCAGGAACATTCTGGGACATTCAGGATATCCATGTCTGTCAGTCCCTTGAGGCACAGAGCAGGTAGTTGACAGGTTGGTGGGGCTCTCTCTACCACAGTGTTGGCTAACCCTTCTCTTTTTTTCTTAGTATAATTTTATTTTTAAATAAGAACCTGTTTCATATCCTTTTAAAATTTTTATTTATTATTTTTATTTTATGTGTACAAGTGTATTTCCTGCATGTATGTGAGTGCATCTGTGTCGTGCAATTCCATGGAGGTCAAAACAGCTTCGGATTTCCCTGGAACTAGAGTCGAGGACGGTTCGTAGCCGCCATGTGGGTGCTAGGAATCGAACCTGGGTCCTCTGCAAGAGCAGTCAGTGCTCTTAACCACTGAGCCATCTGTCCAGCCCCTGTTTCTGCTACCCTTCTTTTTATGTGGTCCAGTTAGTGTATGGTGCAGTTGGTTGGCCTGGTGTGTTAGGTAAATTCTCAGACAAGTTTTTCTGATGTGTATTGTTTTGTTTTATTTTAAGTATTTTTTAAATTTTTATTTTATGTGTATGAGTGTATTGCCTACATGTATGTAAGTGCACACGTGCCATACAATGCCCATAGAGGTCAGCAGAGGGTGTTGAGTCCCCTGGAGCTGGAGTTACAGGTGGTTCTGAGCTGCCTGACATGGGTTTTCGGAACTGAATTCAAGTATTCTGCAAGAGCAGTGTGTGCTCTTAGTCACTGAGTCATCTCTCCTGCCCTGTGATATGGTTTTAATACACCATGTGGGTATATATTCCCAATGTATTTTGTGAGTTTACAGGTGGTAATTTTTTACTTTTAGGACTAAGCTATCAGTCTGTGCTTCATGAGCGGTGCTCCACAAGTCGTGCTGTCTCCATATATCCTGCCTCTCCA